TGTTGATTTCACCTCCCAGCTTCTCTTGTGAATTTCACCTCTCAGCAGCTCTCCACTGTGCCCCCTTTCTCTCCTCTGTCCCCACTGAGGTGCAGCCCTCATCTCCTCATACCTGGACTATTGCAATAGCTACCTCAGATCTCTTTCTTCTTCACCCTCCATTTAGCCTCCAAAGTGATTTTCCTTAAATCAAAGGTCCTGTCATGTCACCCCTCCCACACACACACAAACACATATACTCGATAAACTTCAGTGGCTACCTATCACCTCCAGGAACAAATAGAAAATACTCTGCCTTCTGAGCCCTTCATCACCTCTCCAGTCTTCTTACAGCTTATTCCCTGACACTTTTGGATCTAGTGACCCAGGCCTCTTGGGCATTCTCTCTGGCTTTCTTTCCCGATGCCTGGAAAGTGCTCCCTTCGAGGTTCTGACCACTGACCTACCTGGCTTCCTGTAAGTTTCAAATAAAATCTCAACCTGTATGGAAAGTCTTCCCTCTGTTAATTATTTCCTATTTATCCTGTATATGACTTGTTTGTACACACACACTTTCCATTGGATTGTAAGCTCCTGGAAGGCAGAGACTGTCTTGCATTTTTGTGTCCCCAGCACTTAGCACAGTAGGCGCTTAATAGGTGCTTATTGACTGTCTGATTGGCCAGGTTCTGAAGGGCTTTGAAAGCCAAAGTTTACCTTAGAGACTCACACCGGAGGGCAGGAGAGAGCAGAGCGCTAATGTCTTGGGTCTTGACAAAAGCTCAGCCTGGATGCCCCAGGGGACCTGGAGCCAGGGAACCTCATTCAGACCAATAAGCATTCAATCAGTAAACCAATCGTCATTTGTCAAGCCCCTACCATGTGCCAGAGGGGACAGCCAAATGCCCCAGCAATTCCTCCCTGCCCCGAAGAAGCTTACTTGGTTGGGGCGGCGGGCCCCGACTCAGGCAAACACAAAACAAAATCTGTAGAGTCAGTTGGGGTGGGGTGGGGGTGAGGGACGGTCACTAGCTGCTGGGGGCTTTGGGAAGGGCTTCGTGTCCTTGGTGGCACCACGGCCTGAAGCGAGGAAGGGGAGGGGAAGAGGGAGGGCAGAGTCTGCTCCAGCGGGGCAGGTGCCGGTCCCGCTCCTCGCCCCTCGCCCCTCGCCCCTCGCCCCTCACCAGGGCCATAATCACAGCCCCAAGTCGACCCTTCAAGCGGATGCCCACTTTGCCGAGGCGTGTCCCGCGCGCTGCCAGTCCTGTCCCGCCCCTCCCTGCTTCCCGCCCCCCACTCCCATCCCAGGCTATTTTGGGAAACTCAGGTTCCTTTTTAAACTTAGACACGCCCCTGGAAACTAAGTGTGAGTCTCCCCTCCCCCAGCCCAGCCCCAGGGGATCTGGCTGGAAGGGTAGGGGGTCCTACAGCAGGCTGGAGCAGCGGCCAACCCCGACCGCAGGCCCAGGTGATTTGCATGCCTGCCAGTCTCCTCCTCCGCCCTCTTGCCCCTGCTGGCCCCCCCGCCAGGCCTGCCTGGGGCTGCTCCCGGCGGAGCCGTCCAGCCGGGTGGTGCTGGTGGTTGGCTCGCGGGGCTGTCAGGCTCCCCTCCTGCCCCTACTCCGGCTGCCTTCAGTCGCTTCCCCCTCCCCCTGCCCCGCCCTCTCCCTCCTCTCCCCCCCTCCTCGCCTTCTTCTTCTTTCCTCCTCCCTCCTGCGGACGGACGGGCGGGCGGGCGGCTGCTGCTGCGGAGGCTGCCCGAGGTTGGGGGGAGCCGAGCTCTGTCTGTCTGGCCAGAGGGTCTCGTCCCAGTCATGGCTCTGCCGCTGGCGTCCCTGGGTCGACCTCTGGTCGGCTTCTTCTGCTTGGTCCTGGGTAAGTGGGAGCCACAGTCACCGCTGCCGCTGCTGCGGCTGCTGAGATCCCAGGGCTCTGGGAGGGGTTGGCTGCTGAGAGTGGGGAGTGGGGAAGGCAGAGAGTGCTGGGCGCTGAGCCTGGAACCCGAGGTTCGAGTTCTGCTTTTCCACTGCCTAGCAGTGAGACCGTGGCCAAGTCACTGCCCCGTCAGATCGGCAGTTGTCTAGTCTGTTTAGTGTATATGTGTGCGAGAGGGAGCGGATGAGAATTCTCGGGTTTGCCCTTTGGAAATGAGAGAAAAAGAGGAGAAAAGCGCCTTGGAAACCAGAAGGGTTTCCCGTCTTCCGAACCAGAATTTGCCCTCCCTCCTCCAGCAGTCTGGGCAGCCCTGAACCTAGCTGAGGAGCGGGCAAATGTTGGGCTATATCTGCCTGGACCCCCCCCCCTCCTCCAATTCCCTCCCCCCTCCCTCCCCTTTATTCCCTTCCCCTCTTTCCTCCTTCCCCTCCTCACCCTCCGTGATTCCACCTGAGTCTAATTCTCCTGCCTGGGGGTGGGGGTGGGGAAGACCTTCCCGGGGCTCCTTCCTCCAGAGCTTCACCCCACCCCCAGAATTCTGGTGCCAAGATTGCCAGCTCCAGGGCTTGGCTGTATCTTGGACTCAAAGGCCCTGGTTAAACATGCACCCCCTCCCCCCGGCTTGAGTTCAGCTTCTGAAGGAGGAAAAACCCATTTCTTAAGCTGGAGAACCGAAACCCCGAAACCCCACCACCCCATCGTACCAAGGGCTTAATCCCGGTCTGCTGAAACAGCTGCAGCCAGATGTGACATGTAAAAGCCATCCACAGTCTGGTCCGATCTACCTTTCCTGGCGCATTTCTTATTACCCTCTTCATGCACTATGTTCGGACCAACTGACCTACTTAGAGCTACAGACCTCCAAAGGCTGCAGAGATAGATTTCAGGAGGTTCATGAACTTGGATGGGGGGGGGGATGACATCTTTATTTTCATTCATTTCTAACTGAAATCAGTCGTTTTCTTCGATTGTGATGTCCTGGACCTCCCTGACCTGCCAAAGAGGTGCAGATGTGGCCGGGGTTAGAAATGCTTTTGGTTGACTCTACCTGGTTGTAACAGGGGCTCTATTTTTCCTGTTTTCTGGGGTGAGAGAGGTGATGAGAGGGAAAGAGGCCAAATCTGCCATGGGAAAAAAATTAAAAACCAAAGGTGTGGAGGACATACACAAAAACAAAAAACCTCAGTGATACGCTGCTTCCCTAATTAATCTGTTTCTCCATTCTCAAATAAGCACAGAGCCGGTGGCTCCCCCTCCCCCCACAGCACACCCTTCCCCTGACCCCCATCCCCAGTAAACTCCATGAGGGCAGAGAATGTTTCTTTTGTGTGTTTGGATTTGCAATGCCTAGCTGGCATTCTTTTGGAGAGGACCTCAATTCAACACACAATCCGAGCCTTTTTCTGAGGAATAGGAGAGAGAGAAAGAAAGAAAAGAAAGAAAAGAAAGGAAGGAAGGAAGGAAGAAAGAAGGAAAGAACACATGGTTTGTGGGGAGGGGAACACATGAATGGGAAGGATGGAGAGAGATGTTTCAGGCTAGGCAGGGGCGTTCCCAGAATCAGCGCCATCCTTCCTAGCGGATGTGCGCGGATAAGCCCAACGAGCACGTTGGGTGAGTAGGCAACTGTTGGGTGGTTCGGCCTTCGGTCGGGCGGTGACCTCCTGGAGCAGCTGGGCAGGGTCCAAGCTGCCCTTAATGGGTTGGTAGACCTTGATTTCAGGGCTCCTGGATCCAGTGGGCAGCTGTTGGGTGGGTGGGCATTAGTCAAGGTTGCTAGTGGGCTATGGAACTGTCTGTAGAGGGCCCCCTGGAGCAGCTGGGCGTGGCAAAGACCAAGCTGCCCTTCACCAGTTGGCGGACGGTGATTCAGGGCCGCTTAATGGAGGGCGCACCATGGTGTGCCGCGGCAGTGGCTGCTACCCCGGCCATCGTTGCCACCTTTGCGGAGGTGTTGTGGGTGGAGCCCTTCCCACCACAACCTAGAGAGAGGGGACAGGACGTCGGAGAGAGCTTGCCAGGGTCCTTGGAGGCTCGGTTTCCCCATCCATCCAATTGCGGTAGACTCACCTGACTCCTAGGAAGATGATCTCAGGCATTCCTTTGTAAATGGGGTTAAGCTATGTTAAACCCTCCACGTGGCAGCTCCCCTCTGACTTGAGCATTCCAGGCCGGGCTGCTCTTCCATCTGTGGGATGCAGGATTGGCCAGCCCATCCATCTGTGTTTGAACAAGAAGGTCCCCTTGGGTCCTGCCTCAAGCCCAGAAAATGGGGCGGGCCTGGCTATATGAAGAATGTGGAAACTGGAGGGGAGGGTGGTAACATAGTCAGTGAAGGTCCATTCCATGATGGGAATTTCCTATGTTCCCATTTCTCTCCCTTGTAGCAGAATGAAAGAGATAGTACTGGGGGAGGGGAGACAGAAGTTCAGCAAAACTAACCAACATCGTCCAATAATGTATGTGGTTCTGCGTGGAAAGGGCCTTAGGAGTCATCTAGTGACGTCTCACTTTACTTTACAGAAGGGGAAACTGAGCCTTGGAGAGGTTCAGTGACTTGCCCAAGGTCTCACAGCTAATAACCATCTGAGGCACAGTTTGAACCAAGTTCTTGCAGACTCCCAGTCCAGTCCACAAAGCCATTTATAGGCTACTATACAACCCATGGGTTCTCTTACCCAACCCCCACGTTCATGCCCTCCCTCCCCCAAACCTCTGCAAAGAAGAGAGGGAGATACCATCTCATACCTTCTTCAGGACCAAGCTTGCCAAATGTTTCTTTTACAAAGGAGAAGACTGAGGCCAGAAAGATGAAGATCACAGGAGAAGTAAATCACAGGGTTGGGATTCCAACCCAGGTGCTCTGACGCCCAACGCAGCAGTTACTGAGCCCAAATTACTATGTGAGGCTTTGCTTCTAAGCCAAGGTGGTCTGCACACACACATACATGCACACACACACACACTCACACATGCACACACACACACACACACACACGATGCCTGTTTTCCCCCGTCTTATAAAGAAGATATTGGTCTAGCTTTCAGGAGAAATCTGACCCCAAATTGAGCCCCAGCGCTTTCACTTCCCTCTGGCTGACGGGGCCTCTATCTGCTGTTGAACCTGCCTTTTGGTGTCCTGTAACTGCTGGTGGACCTCCTTGGGGATGGATGAGGCAGCAGCATCTGGGAACAGAAACCCTGCCCACCATGGGTGCTCTCCATCCAAGCCCTGCAAAATTCATTTCCTGGAAATTGATTAAAACAGCAAAGCGGATGCTTGGGCCCGAGTCCTCTTTCCAGCAGCTCGTTTGCAAAGAAAGGCCCTGGCTCTCGGTCAGAATGATGCTACTTGCTCAAAGTGAGGCTATTGGCTGGAACGTTCCCCCAGCCTGGGACAGCTGTCTCCCGGGGATGGCACAGCTGCCTTAGAGCTTAGCTTTGGTCAGCAGGGGCCAGAGTGGGGGTGGTTCAGAGGGAGAAGGAGAGAGGATCCCCAAGGAGAGAGGTGCCCATGCACACCCCTGAGAGCTGCTCTTCCAGGAAGGATGCTAGCTGTGAATCATGGCGCTCAGCCCTGGGAGACCTGCAGAATTGGCATCTCCCAATGATCTAAGGGCATGTGTGTTTTCTCCGGAATGTTTCACCTCTGGATTTCTTTTTCCTCCCTCCCAAATCAGGCTGTTGTCTCTTGTTTTCACAAAACGGTAGCTTGCTGGCTTGCTGTCCCTGCTATGGGATATTCCATTTGCCCTCTCCATACCTTTTCCTGGGGTGCCCCTGACTCTATGCCTGGCATACACGCCCCCTTTCCCTCTATTTCCTAGACTCTCTAGCTTCCTTCAGGCCCCAGCTCCTACATGAAGCCGTTTCTCCTTCCCTCCCCCCCCCCCGGCTGCTAGGGCCTCCCCTTCCCCTCCCCAATTACTTTATATACTTTCACTTACATGTGCACGATATCTCCCCCCTAGAGAATGTAATACACTTCTTGAAGGCAGTGTCTGCTTCATTTTTGTTTTTATAGCCTCAGCAACTAGCACATAGTAGGCACTTTTAACATGCTTATTGATCAATTGACTACTTCAACATAGACACTTGCCTTGGAGTCAGAAGGATCTGGATTCAAATTCCCCTCAGATGTTCCTCAGCTTTGTCATCGTGGACAGTGGGTGATTCCAGCAAGAATGACATCTACAAAGCCTTCGAACTCTTGCTGTCCATTGGTTTTTATTACAAGTCTTTCTACATTTCCACCTTGCCCCCCACTGGGCCCACTGGCTTGTGTTTGTATCACCAGCATTTAGCACAGTACCCGGCGCATACTAAATATTTAATAAATTCTTTATCTGTCTCTAAATTTGGCAGATTTAGAAAACATCTGCAGTACAGACCTCACAGGCCCGAAGTGAGGAAAGGGTTGCGTAAAACCTGAAAGTGCCACAGAAAGGGGGGCGTGGGGATTATTTGTCAAGTAATTTGTGCATCTGGATGGATGGATGAAGTATTTGACACAAATGACCTGTCCACAGACTAGAGTATCCCTCCTGCTAGACTGTACCAAGCACAGTGCTGTGTGCAGAATGGACATTTAAGAAATGTGTGAGGGGGCAACTAGATGTCGCAGTGGATAGAGCACCAGCCTCGGACTCAGGAGGACCTAAGTTCAAATCTGACCTCAGACACTCACTAGCCGTGTGACCCTGGGCAAGTCATTTAACCCTAATTGCCTTTAAAAAAAAAAACAAAACCTAAACCAAAAAAAAAAAATGTGTGAAGAATGGAATTAATAAAAATTCAGGCCTAGGTTGTCACTGCTGTGTAACTCAGCTCAGACCCTTGGAACGGTGCCAGATCTGCTTGAGCTGTGGTCATCCCACACCTCGACAAAAGCTAATAATTACTGGAGACCCAAGTCACTTCGTACCATCCATTCCAGGGGT